TTTCAAAACTATCCTTACGTTCTAAAATCCTTGCATTCTAAAATTTCAAAATTATCTTTGCATTCTTAAATCCTTGCATTCTAAAATCTTAGAGTGTTATCCAAAATCCGTGGTATGGTTGTAGTCTTTTTTTATTGTTAAAGTTTGAAATTGTAATATTATAATGATAGAAAGGGATAGATCCATATTAATAAGATAAAATCTGTTATACTCTTTTTAAAAAAGAAGACAATCCTTCTGATGGTTTTTGGTTCCGTTGAATAATAATTTTAGGTTTATTTACTTATTTTTCTTGATCACAGGATTTCCTTTGAACAGAGTGCAGGATGTTATGACATAACTCCGCCACGCCTTAAAATACAGTCAAAGATTGGTTAATGTATTTGAATTCAGAGAACTAGATGAAAGATTAGAATTTCTTTTCTAGTTTCGTAGTCCATATTTCTAGATAAAAGAGAATAGATGGCTCATGTCGTCTTCAAAATACCGGACGGTTTTAGCTTAATTTNCCCCCCCCAAAAAAAATGGACCCGGTCGATTCAGCAATTTTGATGGCTATACAATACAATTAAAAAAAATATATATAGAGAGAGATAGGAACTTTCAAATCTATACCTTCTTACTATATTCCTTGTAAATACGCATTGAGTGGTGACCCAGAAAACTGTGAGATAGAAATACTATTTAAGCATTATGCAAATAAAGCAAATAGTTTTACTCAGTAACTTCATGTTGCAAATTGCAATGAGTTAAGTAAAATCGTGCTATGTGTATAAACTGCATGATTGCTGTGTTTCATGTTCATTGGACCATTCAAATCATAACTTGAGTCTAGCATTTGTTTTCCTTCCACTATTTCATGGGTCCCACTGTAAGAACCTGACATTCGAGGTTGTATTCGCATCTTCGTTGACATTCCTCATTCCCCATTGGAAAGAATGTTTCAATTTTATCACCTTCCACTTCGACCCCTTCAATCTGAAGTTAAAGGGAGTGTTCGCGAAAAATGAAAGGGGGTATAGGCCTAATGCGATAAAAAGGCGCTTTTGATCGCAACTTATCTTACTTCTATCTGTTGCGTCTATAAGGAGAAACTTGTTAAAGACGTCTCATACTGAATAACTTGGCGCCCATACAAACTCAGAGAATTGCAACATACGACTTAGACCGTAAAAAATCAATTTAATTTCAAACAAATTATTCAGATATTACAACCTATAGTCATCGATTATCTTTTGTCA